CCCGGGACCGTGTTGTACACGGTTGTGGTAGGAGGAACTGCCCGCTCCTGTTGGCCAATCTGTTAGCTGCATTGTATCGATATGTGTCCGTTCATCCATCGTCGGCTACCTTTTTTTGTTCTTGCCCGCCTGTGCGGCCGTGCCTGTGCGGAATAGACAGTATAAGGCGGGAGCGAGAGCCTTATCCGTAGCTAAGCTATGTGTTTTATCGGCACTGGTACGATGGTTAATGGTTCTGGTTCTGGTCCGTGTGATGCTCCATGGTCCGGACGAGCTTCCTCGGGGACACCCCGGGGAGCCTCAACCGTGAAGACGCCGTCTTCAAGACGGCTTCGTAGACGCGGCCGCTGAAGATGAGAGCCGCTCACTCTCATTGAGAGGGCCACTCCCGGAGTGCGCGCAGATCCGCGTAGTTCTCGTCTGCAGACTGCCTCAGAGTGGGATAGAGGCCTTCACGATAGTGTAGAGTAATTTGACTAGGTCGTAAATGGAGGCCAGCACTCGCGCACATAGCAACAGCACTGCTGTTACAGCAGATTCGATACGGTCGAGGCAATCGTAAATGTTGATGTCACCATTGTCCACCTTGACGTCAGAGAAGTATCTCATGACTTTCGCATGTGAATTCGGCACAGAGTTCTCATGTTGAAGGTAGCCAAGTGCTTGTGATAGTGTCAGAACATAGTCCCTCAGAAGTAGAGGGTGGGATCCATAGTAGTTACCAAGTGGATCAGCGGATAAGACTCACAAAGTAGTTGATACTCCTATTATCAGAGTATGCCTTGTACTGTTCGTTGTCGGGGCACTTGATATGGGAAACAGCATTGATGGCCTTCGTTCAACGAAGGCCGAAGGCTTGATACAACGAAGTTCGTTGTATCGGGAGGACCCTGGTTACTTCAACGCGATGATGATGCTTAGAGACGGTCACTCATTACCATCATGGCTTCCAGCCCCTTCACTTGGCGCTCTTCGTGCAGTGCGCAATAAAAGGCGAGTGAGACCGACAGTCGCACGTCGCGGGTTCGGATCCCACGACATCCGCTTGTAAGTTAACACCAATTACGCAATGTCTGACCTGTAATGGAACATTTTACGGTGCCTACAGGAGCATTCGCGCTGGCAAGAGCATGAAAAGATGAAGAAAACCTTTTTTTGGGTGAAAAAGACGAAATTT